CACGGGTCAAATGGGTACCCAATGAGGCCCCCATCCGGGTCCTTGGGGTTACACTAACAGCAAATGGTAGACCCTCAGCAAACAACGAAGGACTGCTCAAATCACCACTCGAAAAATTGCTACAATGGAAAGACAAACACACCTCACTGATGGGACATTCTTTGGTGATAAACAATGTGGTGCTTGCTTCCCTGTGGTACAGATCGGCCATCGGGGCCCTGGACAAAACAGCCCTCGGTCCATTGCAACGACTAATTGCCGCCTTTCTATGGAGGGGAGACCATGAAAAACATAAGGTGATCAGTAGGGTTGCATGGCAATCCATAACCTAAACTTCACCGGAAATCAGCCCTTTCACATGGTTAGAAAATAGAGCTTGGTCGATACCAAGAAGGCACTCCAGATAACAGATCCAGACTTCCTCAAAGGAATAGGCGAGAGAGGACGTGCGAAATGACCCTTCTGGCCATCCCTTCTGAGGATGTGGAGGAGCCTCCCCCTGCCTGACAAAACCCAACCAGAGCGGTGGGAGGAAGTATTACGACAACCCCTTTTTGACAACAGGAAAATCGTGGACACCAGGGGACAGACTCTCCATTGTATGGACTCCCCCTGACGTGTATGGGTGAAAAGGGGTATACTCAGAATAGGGGAGATCTGGGATACAACCACACGGGACTGGGTCGATCGAGTCCTGCTCCGGCAAAAACTGCGACATAGCCATAGATTGGGAACTGCACTCGAGGACCTGGTAGAAAGGATCCCCCTGAGTTAGTGGAAAATCCTCAGAAAGGGGCCCCTTCTGCAGGAATTCGACTGGGTGCAAATTCTGGGCAGTCAGGGAGAGGTAGGTAACGTGGTATGTTGCAGCCCCAAAGGACCGATGGTTGTTGACATATTTAAAGTGGGCAACGACAACACATTATATCGACCCGTGCCAGAAGAAACAAGATTTTTCCGAAAGGAGGAACTATCACGTATCAGAGTGCTGGAAAATGGGGATAAGTCGATAGTCTTCCTCCCAAACACTCCGATCACTGAACTGCCATTGGACCCAATGGAGTGGACATGGACCTCTCCCTCCGGATGGGGCAAGAAATGCAGCAGAAAATTACATATCATAACAGTTAAATCAACATATGGACTACTCCGTCCAACGACTAATTTACGTGACAAAGTGGAGGCTAGATGGATGAAGCACCTGAACATTAGCAAGGAATCACTTCGGAAGGTAAAATGGTTCCAACTCGTTAAGGCGAAACCAACAAGACTGATCTCCCTTCAATGGCAGATAGAACATCGTTGCCTACCTACAAATGACTGGCTAATAGACAAGACATCTTTGGAACAAAGTGGGCGGGCCATGCCCTGATGCGAACTCTGTTTAGATGCCTTTCCATCTAGGAAAAGACCAGAAACCATAGAACATATCTTCCTGCAATGTCCAGGAGCGGTCCTACTCTGGCGCTGGTGGGACAAGATCTGGGATCAGCTGGAAGTAACGAAGCCCTGGCCATGGAATTGGCAAGCACTGCTATTAGAAACATGGAATGCAGAACAGAAGGATGACTTCACCCAAAACATGTTTAAATTGAGACGTAGGGCGGTGCTATGGGCACTTTGGAAACGCCGTTGTACATACGAGATGGAAGGGGTGAGGCTGGAAGGACCCGAATTCACTGACAGCATACAACAAATTCAAACTGAGTTAACAACTCACTGGGAAGAAGTCAAAGCCCAGATCCAGCACACACATACACAACAGGAAACAAACCAGAAAATACAGGACTTCTGCGCAAAATGGCTCGGGGGTAAAGAGGTGGGAAGGATGGGGAGGGTGGAAAGGAACTCAGGGAGAAGCCAAGAGGAAGAAAGGTTGTGCAAGGATTATCGGCTGAGTTTTCATGACTGGACCAAGGTGGACCCCTCAATCCCAATGAGAACAGCGGATGACTTCCCCGACCCCTTCCCCGACCCCTTCCCCCCCCCGACCAATAGCCTGGTGGATTTGCGATGGTATGGGTACTAAGAGAGGAAAGGGGGAGGGTAGACACGGGACATGGGGAGAGGGGGTAGAAGGTACGGGAGATCGGGACAGTGGGGTAGTAGGCCTGGGACAAAGGAAGTGTATATCAGGGCGGGAAAGGGAGGAACTAGTGTGCAAGCGCAAGAATCTGGCACCTGTTTTTGGGTGAAGAGGTTCTCTCCCTCCCTGCGCAGTTAATCCCCGGGGTTTCCTAGGCAATCAATGCTGGCAGGAGTGTCATGCTTTCAAAACTCAATCTGTAAAAAGGGACGCTGAACCCGCTTTCCAGCAGGTGAAGCTCCCCACCAATAGATGGAGCCTCTTCCCTGGTGCTAGTGGTGACTGCTCTTATGAGCACCACTAACACTCGTGAGGATGTTAAAAAAAAAAAAAAAAAAAAAAGGGTACTATGAGGGGTTGCCTGGTTGGAAGTCCGTCTAAGTTTGCTCTGAAATTTTGTACGTTTTAGTCATAGTTTTTTTCCTTTGAGGCGATCTTATTCACTATGTCTATGAATGACGTATATTCTTGATTGATCCCGTACTGTTGCTGTGATCAAACTCGTTATGATTGATATTCCAAATTTTGTTTTCTTGGAATTTCTTGTTTGAACTTCTGCATATTGATTTTCATAAATTCGATTCTAATATCAAGGTCTTAATTCCTAATCGTGGCTCAAACTAGTTTCGAACTTCGTTTGCATGACTCATAAAAATTCTCATAAAAATTCTCAAAAAAATTCTTACAGTTGACTTTCTCAAATTTGAAATCCCGTGATTTTGCTCAACTTGAAATTCTTACTCTGATCATGTACATGGATATTGGTGATTTGCTTTCTATGATTGATGCATCTTACACTCGACTTTCTCAAATTTGAAATTCGTATTTTGATTTTGTAGATGGAAACCCGTGATTTTGCTCAAATTTGAAATTCTCACATGATGACGTTGGTCTTTCGCTGAAAAAAAATGCCTAAAACTCCTTTTTCAGAGATGTCTCAAATAGTGACTACTCAAGTAATTGGTCTCGTTGTTCTTAATAATTGGGTCTCAATTTGTGGTGTTGTGGGATTTGGGTCATAGATGTTGAATGGATTATCTCCTTTAGGGTTGGAGTCTCTCCCTACGAGGGTTACACAAGGTGGGTGGTGTGATCCTTGAGAGGGTAGGGACGGTATTGAGGGTTTGTCCTTTTCTGGGCCATGCTGATTTTGGGTCGGATCAGCTATGGCGGTTGAGGAGAGAGGACAAGGGGTGCTGATGTCAACAGGGTGAGCGTTGAGTGGGCTGTTCCGCTTGGAGGGGGTGGAGCAGGAAGGTAGGGGGATCTTTGGCTCTGCGGGGGCATACTTTAGGGGGTACTGTATGCGACTGGGGAAGCAGGAGGGGTATTCTGGGGGCTGTTCTGAACTGGGGGGGGAGAGGTGACGGGGCGCCTTCCCGCGGAGGCAGTGAAGAGACAGGGGGTTGTCTTTGGGGTAGAGGAGAAATCCCTTTGGTGCTTGTGACCCCTGTGCATGTAACTGAGACCTTAAGAGGCGCTGGACTTTCCATGGGGTTTCCCTTCTTCCCGTGGGAATAGCAGGCGTTGAACATAATGACCACGTTTTGATTTCTGATTTCTGTTTTCCTAATTGAAAAATTCCTCCAAGGTTTTGGAGTTGAAGGCAAGGGGTAGTGGAACTGTGATGGTGGGAGATGACACACTCTGCGGCGAAGGGGCTAGCCTATAGGGTTGAATAGGGTACAGCAGCGGTGAAGACGGTGGTGAAGACGGTGGCTTCACTGTAGTAAGACTTGCCGGAGTAGGGTTGAAAAGGTTCTGTTTGGGGATATTTGCAAGATGAATGATGGGGTCTACAACTATGGTGCTGGCTGGTAGCTTGATTGGTATTTGCCTTAGTCCAGTCCCGGTGGTTTGCGAATAGACGAGGCCAGAACGACGTTGGTCGGTGCTGGGGTTTGGTTGTGTTGCCCTGTAACTCAAGCGGTATGAGGGCATGAGACCTGGTAGAGAGATCTGGGAAGTTGTCGAGGGTGGAAGGCACTCGAGTGTCTTTTCGTGAGCTGGTGCCTAGCCGATGCTGGCTGGAGCCGGGGCAGGTCGCTTTGTCCTGTGGCCTAGCAGGGGGGGGGGGTTCTGGGGTGGGTCGTGCCACCCTGTAACCTAGCAGTTGGGGGCATGAGGCCGGGTAGAGATTGGGCATCAGGATATAGGGGTGAGGCAGGTAGGGTTGGGTTGCCGAAAGACTCTAAAGTAGGAGGTTCCTTTGTTCTGAATGCTCCTTTGATCCGAGCTTTGGAGGCTAAAATAATTTTTTAGTGCTCTTGTACACATTTATCTTTTTTAGCCGAAGCCGGGTAGTCTTAAGAATGTTTTAGGACTCTGGGGATTCCTAGCAACTTTGTCTTAGGTGGCTTCGATGCTGTTATACTCCGTAACCTGTGGCTGTTCGATGCCAGAACGACGCTTGCCGGTGCTGGGGTGTTGCCTTGTAACCTGCTGATGCAGGAGCGTGAGGCCTGATAGAGAGATATGGGGATGCTTTGGGGTGGGCATTCCACGGGACGACCAAGGGTTGCTGCTGGGACGACGCTGGTCGGAGCTGGGGTGAGTTGTGTTGCCCTGTAACCCATCAAGTTGTGGGGGCATGAGGCCTGGACGAGCTCGGCAGGGAGTAAAACAGTGTTGGAGAGCTTTGGAAGGGTTTGTTAGGGATTTCGAGGGTTTTGGAGCATTTGTAGGACCTATGCGGTCTATTCCCATCCTTTCCGTATTGCTCATACATTTTCTCAAGAGATCGAGGTGAGTGGGAGAAGGAGAGGGTGGGATATCACGCTTCCTACTAGTAACGGGGCTAGCTGGTAGGATTGGAATAGGGTACAGCAGCAGCGGAGATGGTGGCTCTGCTGCAGTAAGTCTTGCCGGAGTGGGGTACAGGGGATTGATTGGGGGTGTCTGAGTCGTTTTCTGAATTGTGCATATGTTTTTGTTTCTTAGCCATATTTTCAAACTATCTGTTAAGTTTTCATATGGGACGCTGGGCCCGGTTCCCAGCACGTGCTGCTCCCCACGAATAGATTGGAGCCGGAGGGGTTGCTCCAGCTGGACTCAGCAGGTGCGCCCACTCGGGCGGGATGGCGGCCCTCAATGAGGCCGCCCTTGCCTCCACTTGACCCAATCTCCCCAGTCTCAGTTTGAGATCCTGTAGCGTCGTCCATTGGCCTATCGATTCGTCCCACAAGTCAGCCACCCCAAGGACCCCTCTTTCGGCCCACTGTCTTTCGAACGCGACCGAATCGCTCCCTGCCGAGAAAGGTCTTCCATCAGTTCCCCTGATGTGAGGATTATCAAATAGAGGTTGAGATAGCACTTCCTTTCTAGTTGTGGAAGGAACCCACTGACGAGGTCCTACCTCTCTCCATGCGTCCAAAACAATCTGCCAAAAAGGGGATGAGACCCATCTGCGGAGAAAGGAGCCAATCATACAACATCCACGCATCCCTGACTAATGGCAGATTCCAATTCTGTGCAACGATATTTTCTGCCAGCAGAATCCAATGATCCTCTGATGTATAGGATACAACCTTAATCCATTTTACCAGCAAAGCAGCATTTTGTCTAGCCGGGTCAAGCAGGCCCAAGCAACCTTCGTTCCTCAGGCAACAGATCAGGTCCCAGGCTACCTTTGACATAAAACCTGCATCTTCCTTTGCGAATGATTTCCACAAAAACCTGGCTGCTGGCCCGCACACTACCTTCACCGATTGCTTGCTTAATGATCTCACAGTGCCTAGCGCCATTTTGTCTAGCCGGGTCAAGCAGGCCTAAGCAACCTTCGTTCCTGGGGCAGCAGGTCAGGTCCCAGTCTACCTTTGAAATAAAACGTGCATCTTCCTTTGCGAATGATTTCCACAAAAACCTGGCTGCTCGCCCGCGCACTACCTTCACCAGTTTTGCTTGCTTAATGCTCTTACAGTGCCTACAAACCATAGTAGGGCGACTAGTGCCATGTTAGTTACTATGGCCCGGGCAAACAAGGACAAGCGTTTGGCTGGGCCCCAGATGGTAAGCCGCGGGCTAACCTTTTGGTGCAGCAGGCCCGGGTCATCCTCGACATCAGCGCACTGTCCCAGCGTAACCTGCACACCCAAGTACCGCTCTGAGTTTCCACAGGTAATAAATACGGTGTAGGCGCAAGCGCGTGGGGAGCTTACCGGCCGGCGGGCCCGGCGGTCAAGGTACCCAAAACCTCGGTGGTACTGAGGCGGACAGACGACGTTGACGTCATCACCGCGGAGAGTGGTAGGTTAACAAGGCGGGGGAGGGAGGTGGGTGCCATCGCCGATAGAGGTTGAGAACGGGAGGAACTCGATGACAATGGCGGCGAGATACGCCGTAAAGGGTGGGGATAGGGGGAAGGGAAGAGGGTGGCGATACGCCCGGTGCATCGTGCCGAGCGGTCAACGAACGGAGGGCGTCCTTGCGCTACAAACGGGAGTGAAGATAACAAAGCTGAACAACCCAGCAGCGATTGGGAATGGAGATGGGTTTATACGGAGATCTACAACATGCTGCGGACACTTGGCTTTTGGTTCTGCAGGATGGCCGGCGCCGTTTGCAGGAGATGGTGCTTCTTCTATCTTCGGCAGCCCAAGATTGGTCAGGGGTCGATCGGGGGGCGATCTCAATGACTACAAGGAGAGAGATGCTACAACGAATGATGGAGGTACTTTGGGAATTAAAGGAGGAACCTGATCCGCATTGGGAACATCTCCTTGACTGGCAGAAGGTGGACGAGTTCATGCATAAATGCTATGAGCTCTATGAAGAGGGGGATAAATTGTCTGCTGAGTTGGCAACGCGACAGGCTGGAGAGGCTAATGAACGAGCATTGACAGCAAGACCAATACGACTGCCGGTAGAGGGGGATGTATCGACATTCGATTCATCGACAGTTCACACAACAGTTTCATCGGCGCTGACAGTGGATATGACGAAGGCATCGGCAGCAAATACAGCAAACTCAACATCAACAACAATGATAATTTCTTCATCTATATCAACAGCGCTCATGACGAAGACATCCTCAACATCACCGATCAATCCAAATACAACAACAACAACGATAACTTCTCCATCTATATCAACAGCGCTCATAACGAAGACATCTTCAACATCACCGATCAATCCAATGACAACAACGGGGCTATTAACAATGACATCTGAAATTCAACTTCCAACAACATCTATCCATGCGACAGTCACTATGGTGAGTGGTACTCAGTCTCTTCCAATCCTCTCTTCGTGGGAGACACTGCTGGGGCCGGAGGGTGGCCTGCTGGGGTCGAAGGGTAGCCGAGGGTTCTTTCTCGAAAGTTTTGCTGTGCATGGGAAGAAGCTGACCTGGCGAGGTGCTGTGGGGTGGCGTGCTGATGAGTTGTTCCCGTGGGATTCGGGGGGGGGATGAGAGGCTGTGTCAAGGGGTTGGGAGGCGGTGCCTGTGGTCTCCGTGTTTGCTCTCTCTCCCCCTCCCCTTCATGAGTGTTAATTTCCCTTGATGGCTGAATTGAGTTCATTTCCCTGGTATTCCAAATTTCTTGTATCATTTTACATGGGACGCTGGGCCCGGTTCCCAGCACGTGTTGCTCCCCACGAATAGATTGGAG